TGAAATGCAGCTTTCCCTTCTCAAAACAAAGGAAGTTAGAATATCCCCACACCTTCCTCAGCAGGTTATGCTGCTTAATGCCTAGCTGTGATGTAGAGGCACTGCTTCTTTTCTCCTTTTGCTGGCTTTGAGGCAATAACCTTGTGTTGAGCAACAAGGCAAACAGCAGAAAATGACAACATCTAAAGTTACTGCAGCAGGATTCTCCAGAGCTGATCTACCACAGGAGTAGGGGGTAAAGGAAAAGGAACTGTGTTTGTTTGCCAGTCTTAGTTTTGTAAAAGACGAAGAATAGGGAAATAACTTTCTGTGCCCAGTTAAACTTTTGCTTTCCTCCTTATCTGTGCCTGCTGTTTGGAAAACAGTGTTTCAGGCATCTTTGAAGGACTTGAGGAGAGAAGGAAATTACTAGCATCGTGTTGCAAGGACACACCACTCTGTACCTTGGGTATCCTGCCTTGTGTGGCCTTCAGCTGTCTTCTGTAGACAGATTGCCTACTTCTGATTTGCCCACCTGAGTCTCAGGGTATGAGTCATTGATGACTGATTCTCAGCACAGCCAGGGATGGACAAAAATTGACACCAAATGGTCCCACAGAGAGGGCTGAATTAGCCTAACCCATCCCTCCACTCTCAGTTTAGGGGAGAGATGAGTGAGCTCTTCATTCCTGTTCACCCCTGAGCCCCCTCCGGCCTTGCTTATCTGCTACAGCAAAAAAAACCCCAACCTCTGAACTGCAGCTGCTCCTTGAGCCCTCTGCAAATGCTATGAATTCAAGGACTGCCAGCTCAGATAGCAGCAGTTTCTGTTTCCAGCCAGTGCCACATGCATCAGAGGGAAGTGTTAAACTTCCCATGATGTACTTAATAGTGCAGCACTATACCATGGAAAGGGGATTAATGCATGCCCATAGCACAGCCATTGATTAGTTTTTTCCTATCTAATGTCATTATAGACATTATTTTTGTTCTATCAATGTTCCTTTGTATTTTTATTATCTTGCTATAATACAATGCAGTTGTTTTTCTGTCTCTGGCTTGTGCACATACTGCATTCAAGGCAGTAGAGATAGATACAAGGCATCCATCCCAGCTTACTGGAGCTGCAAAGGTGGCAGCTCTCCTGGCAGCTTCAGCAAGGCTTGATAGAAGCATATAAGAGAAGCCCCTACTTGGATCACAGCAGGAGTCCAGAACTGGGAAGGACCATTTATTTGAGTCATCGGCCTCATGACGCTGCACCTGTAAACCAGATTTGGGTTCTTGTTCCTACTTAGCACATGCCAACAAGCTGCCTAACACTATATTCTTCTCAGTGTTCAGAAACATTTTTTGCACTTCAAATCTGTGACTAATTAAACAGAAGCATTAAGGTCTGTTAGAAAAGCATGGTTCAGACGCTCAGGTAGCTTAGCATCATGTGAATTCTGCTACCTGGACAGCACAACCTCTCTCTATTGCCCTAGCAGGTTTGAGTGATCAGCAGTTCAGCAAATCAAACTGTTGAGAACATGAGGATCTCACACTAATGGAGACCCTCTGAAGATATCTGAAGCTGTTTGGCTTGCTCAGCAGGATCCAGGGAGTCTGTGCCAGAAATGGGAATCAAATTCCTCAGTATGTCCTAAGAGCCCCTTTCCTACCCCTTCAAGAGCTAATACAGCTCGTCTGACAAGGACATGGAGGGGAACTGACACCATTCTGGTATATGCAGTTGAAAGCTTTTCTGCATTTTTTTTGGTTGTAAAGTCCATTTTTCATACTGTCTACGGCTGCAGTTTGGGGAGGTCAGCACAGGGAGATATGCTCTATGTCATCCCAACCAGTCAGTCGTTTTAAATCCTCCTCCCAACTGGCCTGCAGAGAAAGATCTATTTCCAAAAGAGAAAATAGCAGGGGTGGTAGTGACTGCTGCTCACCAGTGAGCAGCTGAGACCAGAGTGGGGTGGGTCAGCAGGAATTTTCCAGTTAGTCTTCTGTTTACTTCAGATGAGGTTATAAACAGTAAGGAAGAAGGGTCAGTGTGATGAGCACACTTTCAGAGGTAGCCAGTGTCCCTCACATCTAGTCTAGTTCTTGGCAAGAAACACTGAAGAGCTCAACTTCAAGACACTGATACTGTGTTTTCTCTCTGGATTAGTGTCTGCTAGCCTGCATATCCTACAGGTTGGGCAGCAATTCTGAGATTATTCTTTCTAGAGTAAAATGGATATTTGCACTTGGGAGGCTCTATGCTGGGGGATGACCTGATACCACAAGCTATGTCTGATGGTTTCTCCAGGGATAAAGGTGCCTATTGACCTGCATTCAAAAGGAATAATAACACTAGAAACACCTCGCAGGAAAAGCTAGCTTTGGTATAGTTTTAATGCCTGTATTACAGAGACCTTGCTCAAAACCATACTAGATGGGATTATTTTCCTGCTGTTTGTTCCAATTTGTCCTGCAGAGCCAGCAAAGATAAGAAGGAAAGTGTTGGAAATTATTTTGCCTTATACATTGTTCCATTGTCCCCCACAGGTTACTATCCCATTGCTAGACCTGTCAGCCACTTGTATAATATGTGCTCTCAAACTAGGGCACAGAAGCGATCCCCTCTGTGAATGTCTGGAGCAAACTTTGTCTTCTTGCTGTGAGCTGGCAGTTTGCTGGAGGCCTTCATTCCTCATTCCATTACTCCCACTATTACTGGTCCAAGGAGGTTTCTACCAAGCATCTTTCCCAGGAACATTTGTGCTAGGGCATCTTGGACTTAGGATGCAGTCTACTACAACAGCATGAATCTGTCTCAAATGCCTGCTCTGCAGAATGACTTTAGAGCCTGGAAGTTTTTCCATGGTAGAATTTCCTTAGTGAACTGGAAATAGTTTGCTAGGCATAAATTCTGATCTGTCCTCCATTGCAGTGCTTGGTTATGTTGGTTCTCCAAGCAGGGTGGAGTCTATTGCAAGCTGCCTCCAGACATTAGGCTGGGTAAATACTGTATTTGGTTAGATAGACTTTGAACTAGCTAGTGTACCACATCCAGAATGAAACAGGATAGAGAGTCCCTGGTGAGAACAGGCAAGACCAGTATTCAAGCTGTTATTGAGCAGCCAGTTTGGATGCTGTCACATCATGCTGGATATCTTCAGTGTTTTCTGTGTTTGAAACTGCAAGCCAGGCTCCTTCAGGGCTTTTGAATATTTGCTGCAGAGGCAGGTCCTATGGTAGATGTACTCCCTGCATCTGTTCCCCTCTCCTCCTGCTGTAAGTCACTCCTTCCTGGATTGTAGGCTTTGCTGCAGCTCAGTGTGTTGGACTGACAGTGTACCTCAGCTCATTCCGGGTGGGAGATATTTCTTTTCTTTAGCACAGGGGGTAGCTTTGGTCCCAGACTCAGAGGTGTGAGGCAGGCAAAAAGTACAGCAACTTCCTTTCATCTCAGGAAAAAGACTGCTCTGCAGTTTCTCCCTCCATTGCCTGCGGTTGCCAGAGGGAAAACTATGTTTCTACCCTGTTCTTGAAACTTCTGTGTGACCTCATCTTTGCCTCTCTAACAAGGGACCCAAAATGTCATACTGCCAAAGGTATCTTCCCCAGCATGTGGCAACAGGATTGCTAACTGTGCTGGGACCGGTGGGAAAAATTCCAACCATTCCCTGGGTTTCAGATACAAGCTGAATCAGCTTGAAGCTTTATTCTCATTTTCCCCACAGCGACACACATTCTGACACATTTTCCCTTGAGGTCTGGAGATGCAGAATGCACAAAGCTGAGGGTTTCTTTCATCCCTTTCACACCTTCTTCTCTCCTTCATCCCCTGGTCATTTTCTTCCCTGGCTTACCAGCACTGCAGAATGAATCTGTATTCTGGTCTCTACCTCTGTGTATCAGAAGTTTGCTGCTAGCAAGTGCCAAAACTGCTCATTCTGCTGGTGATCTCTAGCAAAAAGGTGTGGCAGTGACTGGGAGCTGAGAACATTTTTTTGCCTGCTTAGAATGAGTCAAAGCGCTAAGATTTGCCCATGTCTTTTGGCTTCACTGTATCTGGTATGTTCTGAAGGCTCTGTGATGCTTGCAAGCCCTCTAGGGCAGCTAGAAAATGTGGTAGCACCTGACTCCTCCTTAAACTTATCAGGGAGGGTGGGTTGTGGGACTGTGTCATATGTGCTTGTGACATTATGTATAAACTACCTACATAGACTCCTTCATGGATACCAAGGAGGGAGCTGAGGTTCCACTTGGAAAAGCAACAGCAGTGAGCCATCAATAATGAAATCAGTTCTGTTGCCAGAACAATTACTTGATCCTGAATGTGAAGAAATTCTGAAAGAGCCTCTGCAACCAAAACATTCTTCTGCTGACTGGTTCACTTGATAGGGGACAGAAAAATGGTACATCCATTCTAGTTAGTGATGGGAGTTTGCTGCCTCATGATCAAAGGAGAACACTGTTTGCTGAATGAAGCTAAGATCAAAGTGTCCTACGTACAGGAAGGGCCCATTCCTCTTTCTGCTGACAGTGGTGTACCCTGCTCATCCTCAGGGCATGCTGCTGGCAGGGTTGCTTAATTACTAAGAAAGGAGGAGACTGCAGTCACAAGAGAGGGTGTAATGGCCATTGTAATCCAATTCTGAGAGATGATTTGGTGGTAATTGATTCTTTGTCTCTCTGAAATCATTAAACTTCTGAATGCTTAGAAAATACCTGGATTGTATAACTTTGCAGAAGGAGACTTCTTACAACATCCTTTGCTTGATTATTTTTTACCTCTTTTATGTAATTTGACTTAGTAGGCTGTATACCTGTGCATATAACTACAGTTGCATGTGCATATATCTATAGTTGCATTTATATCAATTCAAGGGAATTCAAGTCCTCATTCCTTAGGCTGTATTGAAAAATCCTAATCCCAACAGATATGCTAAATTTGAAATCTCCTTTTCCCTCTTTCCTCTGCCTCCTTCCTCTTGCATTAATACAAACCCACATTTTTGCAATGTCTAATTTTGTTTAAAATGTTTAAACATTAATCATTTGGTTGTGCTTTCCTAGTAGGTGTCTCCCTGGGCATACAGGTTTTAAAGTATATGCGACTTTGTGTGCACCCATCTGTGTTTTGGGCCACGAATGTTGGTGTGGAAGAATGCAGTCACGAAAGTACTTGCACAGATGGACAAGTGCATGTGTAAACGTGTTATATTATAGTAGTCTTGAGATGGTGCAGCTTCTGAGGAGAGTTTGGTCTTTGCTCTTTTGGCTGCCTCATTGGTAAAGGAGTAATTTATAGTACTGCCTGCCAATACTGTGCTAACACACCACCCTACCTCCCTGTTAATGCTGCTGGAAGACTACTTTGCCTACTTTTTCTCTTGCCTTGTTTAAGCTTCCTTGTCAAAAGTGGTTGTATGTGTTTTATCCAGCTGTAACCCCGCAGGTGCCACTCAGCTTAACAAAATGAGTCTTTAAGTGTACACCAATAGGACCAAAGAGCAGCTGGTATGCCCTGGGTTGCATGAGGTAAAGGCAAGCCTGAGGAGCTGCCTTGCCTGGTGGTTTAACAAGTCAGAGATAGGACAGTGTGGTGTGTGTGTGTGGGTGCTCATCTGGTAAACCAGGTTCAAAGCACCTCCCCTTGACCAGAGAAATGAATGGAGACCTCAGCCTTCCTTAGTGCTTCCCTGCTCCATGGCATTCAAATTACAAGGGATGCTGTGGTGCTTTGAAAAGCTGATAATGTGGGCTGTGGGGTGTTGCAGCATAAGAGTGGGGTACTGGCAAGGAAAAGGGGATATGTGTTTTCTTTCATTTTTAAAATTGTTCATGAGTATATTGGGAAGTTCTCAAACGTATCAAAAATTATTTTTATGGTGAATAAATGATGCATGTTCTATTTTAGTGTTTTTATTATTCTGCAGGATGTTTACAATCAACTAATAATAAATATTAGGAGTAGGAAGAGGGTGATTAGACATGAAAATCTCATCATCTTGATGACTGAGTGACTGATGTAACTAATCCTGCAAAGCAAACTTCAAAGTCTAACTTTTCCAGTAAATTGGAACACTCACACTTAAGTATAACTTTTCCTGAATGACAAGAATTTGAATGTGTGGGTTTTTTATGGAGTGGAAAGTGGAAGGAATAGGGAATGAGGCTGAAACACACATTTTGCTTTTCCAAATTGGATTACTAGATTCTATGACTAGATTCTTTTCCTCTCATGGAGAGGATCTCATTAAATTTATGCTGAATGTAACAGAAGAACTTTCCGCACCATGTTGGAGAGAGATGTCAATCCAAAAGATGTTCAAATCATTGTGACTCCCTACACATGGTTAGCACATGGTTGATGCTAGACTGGATGTGTAGTCATGGCAAGATAACCTTCAAATTTCAGCCTGCAGAAAAGATAATACCCTGTGGGAGTCACATTCAGCAAGAGAAATCTTCAAAGTTGATATGGATCGCTTTGGGCTACTGTCACTGCCTGGACAGCCATAAGAAAATGAGGGGTCCAAATCCATTCCCAGCCTGTTGCCCACAGCAACAGCTGGAAGGCAGATGCCTTGTGATAAAGGTGATGCTTATTACTGGCTCTTCAAATTATTTATTTCTGCATACTACTAACAGAGTTGCATAGAAGATGGATTGATTAAGCTTTCACCAGCTGTTTCTCATCCAGCTACCTAATGCTCTGAGATGTTAGCACTGGAGATTAACTATTTCCCTAGGATTTTCCAGAAGGTTCCATATTTTTAAATATGTTCCAAGGCAATGAGGAAAATCAGACTCAGGGTGCTTTTTTCCCCACAAAGTGAGAATGTGTAAACTTCACTTGAAGAGGTTAAAGTGAAATTTTGTCTGACTCTGTTCTGAAGCATTTCTGAGCCTCCCTGAATTACTTGGGGTATTATAGCTAGGACATGTGGAAGAAGGAATGAAAGTCCTGGAGTACTGCAACTCTGAAGCAGTCAGTTCAAACATCAGAACACATGGAAGGCTGTTCAGATGATAAAAACTTTGGATATGTAGCATCTGAAGCTCAGCACCACCAGGCTCGGGTGATGCATTTCTACATTAGGCAGTCTGGGAAGGATCTCAGCAGACAAGCGTGTGGGAGACACTCACCTTTTCCTCGGACATTGGCCTGTCTGATTTCTTGGTACTGCAGATAGAAAACTATTCTCATGAAGCATGTCACCTTCATCAAACCTCTGTCTCTTGGCAGAAAATAGAAACTTTGCAGGCAGCCCCTCCTGGATTCAGCAAGAGAATAGGGTGGTCTGCGGACAGCACCTGGATGTTAGCAGTATTCTGCTGTTGCCTTGGAGTATAAAAATTCCTTGCCTTCTTCTCCAGTATCCTCCCACATGCTTTGAACAAAAAATAGTGTGCTGTCATATAGAGATATAGGTTTTTGTAGTCAGTATTTTGATTTTGTGGAAAAAAATGTTTTAAAGCATTTTAGTGCAAAATGGTGGCGGAGGCCCCTTGGTTAGTTTCATTCAACAAGATTTTGGTGGTAGGAACAGAGATATTTCCATGTGTGACTTGTAGTCTTAAAATGGCAGCCTTGACCTGCTATACCAGATAGCTGGGGCTTTTCAGACTTTCATCTTTGTCCAGTGTGTGTGGAATACAAAGAAGTAAATAGTGGAAATCTTGGAAAATAGACAAGATTTGATGAGATCCTCCACTAGCAATAGTAATTTTTCATCAGCTAAATAGAAATGGCTGGACTGTAAAATATTTAGACATTTAACCCTTTAAATTAAAAATATTGTTAAAACACTTCCGGTCTTGCTGGATTCTATGAGGCAAAGAAGTGGGAGGAGAACTGTGTTTCTTAGTTAATATTGCAGTTTCTGTTTCCCTGATGTTGAGTGTCATTAAGATTGACGTGTCTAAAAGCATATTCTCTTAGACACAGTTGATTTTTCTTATGGCTCCTTGTCTGTTGCCAAGAAGTCCAGCTGTTCTCAGAGGTTCTGAAACTAGAGTGTCCTCACTTAAAAGGTCCACACATCTACATTTGTCTATAAAGAAGATCTGCATGAGAGCAGAGAGATCTGTGAGGAAGGAATATAATTCCTTTTAGCCTGATATATAGGGTACGGTGTAGGAATAGGATACTGTTTTGAACTGTAAGGGTATGGGGCCACCTGCAGCGCTTTGAACTTTGTGTCCTTCTCCTGAAATGCTTGAATTGTGTGTGCTTATCTTTCCAGGTCTGGTGTGTCCTCTGGAGGTGTCAGTCAGTTCAGGGAGTATCCAGGTTGCCCGAGGCCAGACAGCAGTGTTGCCCTGCACCTTCACCACTAACGCTGCCCTCACTAATCTTAATGTCATCTGGATGGTCATTCCTCTTTCTAATGCCAACCAGCCTCAACAGGTAGGTCTTTTCTTACTGGAACATGTATTTCCTTGGGGCTTTCCTATTCCCTGTTCTGGATGTAGGCCCTCTACAATGTTTACTCTCTGGTTGTCTCAGAACTTCATTGTCCCTCCACTGCTGAGGATGTCCTCTGGATATTACATGAGTCTGTTTTCTTCAATGTTTTGTTAACAGAAGCCCATTGTGTCCTTGGCTGGATGTGCAGCTGGGACAAACATATGTGGTACTGTGTTTCTTCCCTGAGCCTCTAGTGGTTTGTGTGTTCGAAAAAGCACAGGAGATGAAATCTACATTTCCGTTCACTGGATGTGGAACTTGGAGGGCCTGGGAGTAGCTGCAGCTTTAAACCTGTGAAATCTATTTAAAATGTCCTCTCATAGACTCATCACCCCTTTTTCTTCCCTCCTTATTTTTCCACTGTCTGTAGCTTTTGCAATTCTATTCTTATGAATACTAGCAAATAAGAGGATATGATGGTGGGGACAAGATTCATAACCTGAGATATGCTAGCCTGTTTTTTGCCCGCAAACTCTGACAAGAGAAGAATGTAATTTCTCTGAAATACATCCCTCTTGGGTCACACTGCCCTCATCACATTTTGTATTCGTTGTGAGAACCTGCACTGAAGAATCCTTGCTCCTCAGGGACTTGGTCTGAGTACAGTCTGACTGGCGGAGGTTATGCAAGTTCAAAGGTTGCACTGCCTGTCATTCAGCTCATCCCAAAGGTCTTCAGTAAGCAGTGTCAAATCATGGCAGGGTCTTACTGCTGGAGACTCAAAATGATACTTTTCCACTGGGCAGATGCTTTTCCTCAAAGTATTCACTGACCTGCAGAGAGCATCTGCTTGTATACATCGATCCTGTCCAGATGGGTAATGACTATCATATGAAGGAGGCTTGTTTTGTCAGTCCAGCTACACATGGTGATTTGGGTATCTTCCTGGTCTGTTACCTTTATGAACAATTTTAATGATGTAAATGGGCTACAGAGTGTGTTCTTCTTTTGGAAAAATACACCTGTGCTAGGATGCTGAGGTTTGGTTATTCAGAGATCCTTTACTAACAGATCCTTTCAGCTTTGGAAGTCCATGTTTTGCTTGCTATTCTTCTTCCTTGCTCAGCTCCTGCAGAGTGTTGTTTGAGCCTTTCTTTCTTTTCCAGGTTATTCTCTACCAAGGGGGTCAGATCTTTGGAGGTGCACCCCAGTTCTATGGGCGAGTGGGGTTTGCTGTGACAATGCCAACCACTAGTGCCTCCATCTTCATCAACAACACTCAGCTATCAGATACTGGCACATACCAGTGTTTGGTCAACAATCTTCCCGACCGAGGCGTCAGGAATATTGGAGTCATTGGACTTACTGTCTTAGGTGTGTTTATTGATATTATGGGGGAGAGGGGGGAAATAGGGTCAAGAAGACCTCTGTGAATGATAGTGCATCATGAGCAAATAAGGTACTGTGGGCCTTTGAGCCGACAGACATACCGTGGTGAGGAATGGGCTGTGTTGTGGGTACTGTGGGAGTTTGTAGGTCACACAGATTTCATAGGCCAGCAGTGTGTAATGAAGTTTCAAAATATGGTGGAGAGAAAGTTTTTGTGGCGGTATTGTGATATGGAGTTGCAAAGAAGTGGGAATAAAGTACAAGGGCATCATGGAGGGCTGAATGGAGCATAAGGGGTTTGGTGCATAGCAACAGGAGGAGAGAATGACTTTATATCTTTGCTTCCTTTCCATGAAAACAGTTAGTCCTGGATGCTCCCATTGATACTAAATACTCCAAAGTGTATACCATTATAGGGATATGAAAGCAAAATCCAATCACAGTAAATTTTGTATGCAGCTCTGTTAAATCTCACCTTCCTTGCTGTCTCAAAGACAGAAATATTCATGTTTCTCTCAAGGTAAGGATCTAAGAGAACTGTGTCCTGTGAAAGTCAGCAGTAGTCTATAATCCTGCTGGGCTGGTGGATCAGGAATCTTTGTGTGAATTGTTGCACCCCAAACCATAATGAGTTCTAGTCTGCTGCCTTGTTCTTGTCCCCTTGATAGCTTGTGCCACTGTCCTTGCCTTCCCCAGCAGCACATGTCTAGAGCGAGCCTGCACTCCACTGTTTGGTCACATTTCCTGATTTGCTATCACATTCCCCTCTTCTCTCGCAGTTCCTCCTTCTGTCCCGCTTTGCAGAATCCAGGGATCCCTGGACGTGGGCAGCGATATCACACTGACTTGCAGCTCGGAAGAAGGCATCCCCCGGCCAACATACCTCTGGGAGAAACTGGACAATGTCCCCAGGTTGCCCCCAACTGCCACACAAGGTGCTCATTCTGTTGATTATCTTCTTATTTCCCAGGTGGCAGCCTGGGGCTGTCCTTTGCCTGAGTTGTGAGAGGTGGCATGGCTCATTGAACTACTGTCACCATTTGCATGGTCCCTTTATTGGGGTGAAGATTCTTAAAGCCCACCGTGGACCAGGTAACATCAAGAGGCCACTTAAAATGTCATGTTTTTTTTGGTATAGAAACATGTTCCCCATTGAAAAACAAGGACTGGATTGAGTGGAAGAGAGAAAGTGTGGTTGCCAGATGTTGTCATGTGGCCAGAAATTTCAGCTGCCAACTCACCTACATTTTTAACCAAAAGGAAGTCTTGTAGAATGGAAACTGGGAAAAGAGAAGCAGAATAATCCCAGGGAAATACACCTAGTTTCTCACACTGAGGCCACAATTCTCCAATAAATTACTGCCAGAGCTGCTTTTCGGATGTATGGAGAAGCAGGCTTCTGGTGTTTCCCAGCCTCAAGTCCCATCCATAAGTTTTCTTAGCCTAGGTGTCTTGATCAAATACTGGTAGCTGTACTTTTGCCTTTTATCTTGCTCTATTTTAAAAATATGGAAGCTTTCAGTTTAATATAATTCGGGAATGAGGTATACTGGAAGAGAAGTGTTGGGAGAGTAGGGTTTCTGCAGAGCAAGATTGAATTCAACAAGTAGATCTGGTTATAGGTAATTCTGCATCTCTTTTTTCCCTGTTCTCACACATCACTGAGAGTCCCAAACTTTTGTCTGCAGATATTCCTCTATAAGAAGAAAAAGAAACCTCTAGTGCAAGCTCCTTAAGGCCTAATCTTGTCTCTGTGTGTGTGTGCACACACACAATGCTTCCATCTCAAGGTTCTTCCTTAATTTATTTCTCTCTTAATAGTCTCAAACCAGAATTCTCTATTTGCTGGCTTTGCCTTTTCATGATTTTCCTCAAGTCGGGGAGGGATTTAAATCCTTCTTTTCTCTCTGACCAGACCAAGTCCAGGGCACTGTCACTCTCCGAAATATCAGCACTGTGTCCTCAGGTCTTTACCAATGTGTGGCTTCAAATGCTATTGGAACCAGCACTTGCCTTCTGGACGTGCAAGTCATTGCACGTAAGTATTTTGCTGGGGAGGCTTGGCCACCTTCTTCTGTCTTGTGACAATAAGGTGTCTAACCATCTTTGCTGTGAGCCACTACCTGTCTCTCTATCAGAAGATAATCATGACCTAGAATGGGAACATTGCCTTTCTCCCTTCCCAAGCCATGGTAGCTTCATGTGCTTACAGATGGCCACAGCCCATCCCTGATTTCTTCTCCATGCTCTGTTCAATCATTTCCACAGCTCACCCACGGAGTATTGGCCTAATTGCAGGAGCAGTGGCCACAGGTGCTGTTGTGCTTGTTGTTTGCATTGTGTTGGTGGCTGTTGCACTGTTCTACTGGAAAAACAAACACAAAGAAGAAGAGGAAGAGGAAATTCCCAATGAGATAAGGTAAGGGTCAAGGAAAGCTGGTGATGGGGACCTCCAAGAAAAAGCTGCGGCTGACAGGAGTGGAATTGGAAATCTAATTTTTGTGAATCTTGGGTTTGTTCCCCGGGATCAGGGGAAGATGTCCATATGTTTAGAAAATGGAGGGAGAAAATGAAGAATTTTAACAGATTTTGTTTTCTGTATTGCCTTTAATGAGAGCTTTGACTTCATAGAATCGCAGAATGGTTTGGGTTTGAAGGGAATTTAAAGGTCATCTAATTCCAACACCTCTGCCAGCAAGAGGGATGTGACTTCATGTTAGCTCTGTAGGAGAGAGATGTGGTGGGAATTCTGACCCCTAAAGCCAGACAGTGATAGCTGAAAAGCTCTGGAGATACAGCTGTGATATTCTCTGGTCACAGATGTTATGGTCACATCTATCACTGTCTGGCACATCCTGACTTTCTTTATAGACACATTTGCCTCAGTGGCAAATTTGGCACATGGAGCGTAGAGGTAGGGATGCTGAGAGGAATGAGTAAACAGGCCAAGCAGCAATGCTGATTCGCATTCGTGCTGTCCTTCTCCTTGAATTGATAGTGTTAACCCCAGCACGGCGGTTGGAGGTGGGGGTATTGGACAAGTGGGCCAGTGTCCTCACACCTTCTTCTTCTCAGGGAGGATGACCTGCCACCCAAATGTTCCTCTGCCACAAAGACGTTCCACACTGATGCGTCCTCATCAGAGAACGACACCCTCACCTCCTCCAACACCTACAACAGCCGCTACTGGAACGACCCCAAAGCCAACCATGCCACAGACTCCTTCACCCGCTTCAGCAACAGCAATGATGCTCACCAGCCTCCCTTCTCCCGCTCAGGGAGCACAAATGCCCGCCCCATCTATGTCAATGGTGGCCACCCATCCCCGGCTCCCCCTAAGACACTGGTGGTGACGGCCAGCACGGCGCCATCGCCTCAGGAGGTGATCCGGAGCAATGGTTCAGTCAGCAGAAAACCACGGCTGCCTCACACCCGTTCCTATGCAGTCAGCCAGGCCACGCTGGAGCGGATTGGGGCTGTCCCCGTCATGGTGCCCGCCCAGAGCCGGGCTGGCTCCCTGGTGTAGGACCTTGCTGGTGGCTGAGAGCTGAGCAAGGGGTCTCTCATCCCCGTTGGGGTGAAGAGACCCTACTCCTTCCTGAAAGGCAGCAAGGTGGCAGGGTTCACACACTTACTTCCACCTGCCCTCCCCTCTCAAGGCTGCTTCCATCTGGTGGGACAACCCTGTCTGAGTCGCTTTCCCTCCAGCTGCTGGAGCTCCTCGTGCCAATGGACACCACAGATGTGCCAAGGCCAGAGGAGCAGAGAGGTCGGGACATGCTCCCGGGCTGCTGGGCCCCAGCTGGGATATGTACTCGGGCCTGATCTTGGAGGGAACTTTTGCTTTTATTTCCTGCTTGTTTTGCTGGGGACCGAGTCCCATCCATTTGGGTCTTTCAGGGAGGTATGGGATATATATATATATATATTTTCTTTTCTGTTGTTATTGTTTTGTTTCCAAGAGGATGATGACCTGTGTTGGGGCAGGGAAGGCAGAGCAGCCCCAGCTTCCCATTGCCCTGGCTCCGCTGTTGGATTAGGGGGTACTGAGCACTGGGGCCAGGTGTGGGGAGGCATGGGACAGGCTGGAGGGGCAAGATGAAGGCACGGCCACCAGCCCAGGCAAGAGAATTGTTGGGTGAAGGTGCTGGCCGGGAAGCATTTGTCTTTATTTTTTGCAGTTCTTCCCCTCACCTCAGCACACACAGACACACACAGGCACACACATAGACACATGCAGATCCTCAGACTGGATATTTCTCCTCCACTAGGTTGGAGTGCCACCAGAGTCCTGTTTATAGCTGTGGAGGATGCAGCCACCTGAGCATCTTTCCCTGAGACACTTGGTGCAGAGTGAGGCTGCACCACTGCTGCTACTGTTGTTTCTGCTGCTCTAGGGCTTTGATCTTTTCTTTTCTTGGGGTGTTGCTGGGGTAATTCAGGAGGCAGAGGGGAGCAGGGTGGTGTGGTGGAGCACCAGGCAGGTTTATGATATATCTGTTGCCCCTGGGGTGCTGATTTCAAACCCCACAACTTTGATGTTTGCATGGTGGATTTTATTCATCAGGCTATGCAGGGCTGGGCAGCATGGCAGGGCACATGTTGTGCTTGGAGCTCTCACATACAGGAATCAGAGATTTCATTCCTGCTCTCCCACCTGCACAGACATGTTGGCACGATTTGTTTCCTGCTTTAGAAAACAGAGGCTTAATGGAAGCCCATACACTATCTCTCTGCTTCCCCCAATTCCCTCTACATCCTAGTACTGGGTACTGGTGGCATCTGTCAGTGGCCCTGCCATCTCCTTGCAGCCTGGCAGGTGGTTTTGGCTGTCACTTCTACTTTTTTTCTATTGCAACTAAATAGCCTTAATCAAAGCCAAGAGTTGAAACCTCTGAAGAAATCTGATGGCATTTGGACGGTTGGACTGAGTGCTGGGATTTCGCTTCCTAGAGAGCACTGGTTCAAAGAGGCCATGTCTGGATAGGTGTTTTGGCATAACACCAAAAGTTGCACAGGCAAAGACAGTGATTTCCTCAAAAAGCACCAGAGCCCTTCCAGGTCTGCTCTTGGAAAAGCAATGTGGGGAGTCACAGGTGGCTTTCCATAGTTCTCACTTTAAAAAAACGGTCTGTTTAAACCCACAGACTCTTTCTCATCCCCACTTTCCTTGTCCCAGCACGGCTTTACTTTCCCTAGCAGTGGCCTTGTTCAGGGCCTTCTATCTAAACAGTACAAATGCAAGCACAGATTCTGAGGAAGAGGGGGGAGGTGAGGGCTGGGTTCCCACGTGGACACACTGGCTTTTTGGGAAACTGAGAGCTCCCAATCAGAACTAGGTTTGAAGCCTGGCTGAGATTTTGTGCCTTCTTTTCTTAAAAACAACAACAAAAACAACAACAATAAGAAAAAAGAAAATAAAAAGGAGGTAAAAAAATCCAATTTCCCTTCTTTCCCCCTCTACAGGACTGCATCCAGAATGTGTGCAAACCCCTCTGGTGGTGCAGGCAGGCGGTTGCTTTGTGTGTGCAAACATTTCACTGGAGCAATCCTGTTTCCTGCCTGTCTGCTCACTTCGCTGCTGGGTGGTAGGATTGATGGGGGAAGAAGAGTGGCTTGAGAAATCCTAATGTCGTAAGAAAAAAACCTAATCCAATGAAAGAAAAGCCCAGACACATTCTCTCTGCGTTTGTAACAACAAACGTGTGTGTGACATTTACAGGAACACTGCCCTCAGCAGGCGCCCTCCTTTACTGGGAAAGCTCCCCTGGCTCCTATCCTTCATAAGACTGTTTGTTCCTCTTTCTTTGTTCTTTCTAATTGTATAGAATTCAATAAAATTTTATTAATATAAGAAAAGAACTTCTGCCTGCCTGCTCCTGCTTTTTTCTTCCTCCCACCTAATTCTTTAAATACAATGAATTTGGCCATTAATACTTATTCTTGATGTAACTGCAGTATGCAGTGACCATGCAACCAAGAGCTGAATGTTATTAGGGTAGCCTATTTGGTAGTGAGCTCTGGTACTAGAGCCTTGTTTTTCTCATTCATAATAGTCTGACACATTGCCCTTGAATGTACAATTTCCCAGTCTTGCAAGGTCACTACCTCTCTAGACAAAGGTGAGTTTTATTTTCTGCCTTTTGGCAGGGGAGGCCCTATGCTGCTTTGAGTGATGTGGGAAAATGTTTCTTTATAGTTGCCAAATTTTGCTCATATATTGGTTTTCCAATCAAAAACATGGCATGTTTATCTGAGATTTAAAATCTAAGGCAGTCACTGACTTTCTTGGGCATTTGAATGTTTGATGGGGGAAACTGTTAGGAATTTAACAGAAGAGCTGAGCCCCATAGACAGAGCATGTGAAGTTTCAGTGTCTGAGCATTCACACTCTCAGGGTATAAGGGGGCTATTAAGCATACACTTCTTAGTCTGTGTCGACAGCTGCTACCAGAAGGTTATTATTAGTTAGGGCAACCTGATATTTTGCCTGGGATTTTGTATTTTTCTCTCCATGTTTCATTTTCTCTATTTCTTCTCTAAAATCCCACAGATATACTGAGAGTGATTATTAAAACCAAAAACCTACAGATCAACAGCAGTGGTAATTCAGCCCTGCTGCACATGCATCTTTCTCATTCCTGGGTATTTTTCAAAACCTACTTCCAAATGCTCTTGTAAATGTATTTTCAACTACAGACCTCACAGTAAATAAGACAGCTGCAGTGCCATTTTCAGGAAATTTTCATAGGAATCTTAATGTTTCCATTTATCAACTTCTGATTGTGCAATCTTGATGTGACATTTAATAGCACCTTTACATTTTATTCCCATGATAGCCTTGTCAGTATTCTGCTATAGTATCCATCTGTTGCCTGTGGTTTGCTCCTTACATCATCCTTTTGCATATCTTGTTGATCCAGAGCAGAATTTCCTAGGATGCAGGATGATTTATGATGTTTGCACAGCACCTAGAATGCTGGAGTTTAAACCTGCAAATTGTGCCTAGTGAGGTATTGCTACAATTCAAATAACTAAAAAAAATTCTACCAGTTAGATAACTTGGTAGTGCTCCAGAATTTTAATTTATCACTAAAAAACAAATAGAGGTTCAAGATATTGCAGCAGTGAGTGAAAGTCACCACTGAAACTGTTGAGTTTGCTGACAGCCTTCAGCCCCAGATATGCCAAAGGGTTTGTCCACCGCATGCTATAGATGTTAGATTAAATGTTGGTACCTATGTCTTTGTCACCTTCTACCAAAGAATATCTGAGGGGAACTTGCTCTAAAAAAAGGATTAACTATACTTTTGAGTGCTGAGACAGAAATAACCATGAGAGGATGCTTCACACTTTAGAAGTGGATATCTTTTTAGAGGCTGGTGTAGATGAGAGCTCAGTTAAAAATATTTGGGAAAACTGCTCTGCAGTCTGCCAGAAGTTTTTTTAACTTACGCAGCTTTTGGACTCAATCTGCTTGTTCATCTGAACTAAAAAAAATATTAAAATTACTCAGATGCATGCACTTCAACACACTCTTGCCGGAACACAAATGATTTTCCAGTGGAAACCACTCTAACAGACGGTATCCTGTCCAAAATTGCCTAGTTTTCCCATGAGGATGGGGGATGCTCATGACATCAGTCTTCCTTACATCATGGTTTAGACCGTCATTAAGAGGACATCAAATCAGGGTAGCCTCAGTTGACACCCAGGAGGTAACTGGGTGATCGATGGTACTGGACAGAGGAAATAAAAAAAATACATTTTATATTGAACGAATGTTCATGATAATCATGGTTTCATCAAGTACATTGCTTTTGCAGGTTACTGGATTTTTCTTGAAAGCATCATTTGGCATCCCAGCCTCATTGATTTCAGGCATGGAAGTGTTTTTCTGTGTCTGCACTTTAACTTGCATCTTCCCAGCCATTGCACCACTGGTATTTGAGCAAGTGGATGAGCTGTGCCTGTGTCTGCCAGCACCAAGTGAATGGTTCAGCAGATTCTCTTATGATGGTATTGAACATTTCTATCACATGGAAAACTGAGGAAGTACATGCCTTTCACAAGTTCACTTCTGAGCAAACCCAAGCGCTCATATTAACTCATGGCCTCTGTTTAACAGAGGCCTGGAGCAGAGCTGTTGTCATGCTTCTCAATGACTGAGTTGCCCTTCTTTCTGTGCTTTTCCAAGTGCTGCTGACTATCCTGCCGCAGCTTGTTTTCCTGAAGCCAGAAAAACAGTGTTCACCCACTGTGCCCTTGTTACAGGTCTGCTCTTGCCATGAGAAAGGCAAGATGTGTTAGTAAAGACAAGGAATATGGGTGTTGAGAGAGGGAGTGTAGTGTCATTGAGCTCACTGAGGCATGCCTCTTCTTGGCAGGGGAGTAGGTAGACATCAGGAACAAAGCAAGCCTTGAAAGCAGTGAGAGTGAAAGACTGTGTGTCTTTTTCTTCACATTGCTTTCTTCCATGTCTGCCTGTCTGCACTGCATGTGCCTTGAGGATGTTACCAAGATTTA